GGTAATTAACACATAAACAAGAATTAAAACATCAACATTGGAAAACATAAACCCTGTAATTAAACAATTTAGCAGTCCTAGTACTTTTTGAATTATTTCTTCAATTCATTACTATAAAATCATGTATTTATTCACCCACTACATATGTTTTGCTCCTACTTAGTATCAAGAACAGCTCTATGTGCTAGAACACTAACAATAAATACATCAGGCAAAAATCTCTGCTTTTTCTCGTACATGAAAAAACTCAGAAACAGAAAGACAAATACCAATATTCTCACCTATAAGCAGAACCAAATAATGTGTACAAGGGGACCAAAGAGTATGGAATGATAGACCTTGGCAACTCAGAAGGGTCGGGGTGGAAAGGGGTGGATGATGAGAAATTACTTAATGGGTACAATGTATATTATTCAGGTGATGGGTACCCTAAAAGCCCAGACATCACCACTGACCAAAATATCTATGTAACAAAATTGCATTTATGATTTTTAAATGTTTTATAAATAAATAATGTTTTAAAATATCTGCTCTCATGGAACCCATACATTATTAAATCATTTTTGATTATTTAAAACCATCACATGTTGAAACTATAGAGACAATACAATCAAATTTAAATATAGGCAAGCTGCATAATAATAATATTAAAATTACCACTTATGGAGTGTTAATATATGCCAAGAAGTGTATTATAAAATTACACTATTTAATCTCTCCAGAAATCCAGTGTAACAATTATTATTTTTATCCTCTCTTAACAAATAAGAAAAGTGAAACTCAAAATAGCCAGTTCTATATTCTGTTTCCAATAAACCTATCATTTGTGAAGGTAATCGGCCCGAAATGTAGACTCCTTAAAAAGGCATTTTCATCATTTGTCTAAGGTTATAAAGTTCACTACCATTGGCCAGTGGAAGAGGGAAACTAGCTAGTGGAAAATTGTGTTAAGAGAATAGGAAAAGATAAAAATGATCAGAATGGAGGTCAGAGATCAGCTATGTTCTATAAAGTGTAATTTTTCACATGATTTCTCCCCATCTCTGCTTAGGATCCAGAGAGTAGCTCACTGAAGCTCAATTTGAATTTAATTTCCATGACACTGTACCATCTGGGTTTCTTCCTGACTTTGACTATTCATCATTTTCCTTCACTAACTGCTCAGCTTCCTCTTATCCAAGTTTCTGTCTTCAGTCATTTTTTCTTTATTACTTTCTTACCTATTGCATTGACCCAATAGTGCTTTCCAAATCTATTTCTCCAGCTCTGAGATTTCAATCTGCATCTATAAACTTCCATGACTTTTCAAAATCCAAAGGATTAAAACTTAATTAATTTCTTTCCTCTTGGCACCTATATGTTCATTAATGTTAGCAGCCATGACTTAAGATCTCAATTTCATTTAAGTCTACATTCATTTATTCAAAAACATTTACTAAGAACCTGGCCAGGCATGGTGGCTCATACCCTGTAACCCCAGTAGTTTGGGAGGCCAAGGCAGGTGGATTGCTTAAGCTTGAGCGTTCAAGGCCAGCCTGGGCAACATGACAAGACCCCATCTACACCACAAATACAAAAAAAATAGCCAGCCATGGTGGTGCACTCCTGTGGTCACAGCTACTTGGGAGACTGAGGTGGAAGGATTGCCTGAGTCTGGGGGAAAAGTTTGCAGTGAGCTGAGATCACGCCACTGCACTACAGCCTGGGTGACAGAGCAAGACCCAGTCTCAAAAAAAAAATTTACTGAGAACCTCCAAGGTGCCAGAAACTGGAGATAGAATGATAAGCAATACAGAGACATTTTTGTTTGAAGTTAATAATTACTACACTATATAATAAGTGACTATAAGTATTATAATAGAAGTGCTAAAACAACAAAAATAATAGACACCTAACTTACCTCTAATTCCTTACACCCTTTATTACTCACAAAGATGCCAGGCACTGACTAAGATACTAAAGGCACAAAGCTAAAGAAGATACAATCAATTATTTCAACAGCAGCAAAACAGCACATGGCCTAAGAGTGGAGAAAACTACCAAAACAAATAATTACTATCGCTGTGAAAAGAGTGATAAAGTTTGGTTTTGTCTCCAATAAAAGCTTTACCAAAATATAATTTTTGGCTTATTTTATATTGTATAAAGATATTTTCTGTACAATTCTTTTAATTTTCATATTAAATTATTGGAGGAGGGGAGTGAAGCCAATTAAACATTTTGAAGGAAGAGCTTGCCAGGTGAATGGAAATTAGGGCAGGAGTGAAACATTCTCAGCTAGAGGAATTCCTCTTATGAAGGCACAGGGACTACCAGAAAGAGCTCATTATGTTAATAGAGCTAGTACTAGTTCTTCATGGCCAGATCGAGTACAAAGAAGTGACAAAAGATGAGATTGGATGGTATTATAGGATTTTGCATTTGGTTGCAAAGAACAGAGTTCCTCTCACAATATTTATTCTTACATTTTTAGGGCTGCTTTAGTTTGCTGTGCCAATTCTAATTTATATTTATTCTTGCATTGACTTCCTTTTTCCTTAAAGTAGGGAAATATGCCAGGCCAAGTTCTCAATAAATGTTTTCTTTCTTCCTTAAAAAAGAAAGTCAATGCAAGCATAAATATAAATTAGAACTGGCACAGCAAAACCAGGCAGCCCTAAAGACCAGTCTCTGCTTCTCAACACATCCCTGCTTCTCTCTGCACTGTTCCCTCCCTGAGATGTGCTCTCTTTACTCACAGTCCCTGCGTCCTTATAGCTGAGTCTGTACGTGGCCTTTATTAATGCTCCAACCTCTGTCTGGCTCCTCTCATCTCACAATATTCACATTTTAGTTCCTACTTCTAATCAGGAGATCTCAATACTTCCTATTTCAAGCTACAAAAAGAAAGAGAATTTTATAAACCTGGCTTATTTTCCTTCTTCTAAGATCCTGGATAGCAAGTGGTTTAGAAGTCCATGGGTCAATAGCCAAGAAATAACCTAAATAAGGGTGTTTATGTTTATGTTACAAGAGTAAAAGGTGATAGCTAAGACAGGACAGTCCCTGGGAAGGAAAAAGATGTAGGTATAAAATACACAGAGGAACTGATTGTGTGACAAAGACATGACTATGGCTGCCTCTGAAATGACTTGGAATTTTTGAGTCATCACTGATCTTTGTAAGAGATTCAGTTGTGTGATGGGACAGTAAGCAGGATAAAATGGAAACTGAGAAGTGGAAATAGAAAATCTAAACCATCATTCCTCACCCTCTGGTGGGGAATAGAGAGAGATAAGCTAGTAAAGAAATCTTCGGGGATAACCTAGGTTGAGAATGAGATTCTTTAATACATGAGATATCAATCAATTTACAGACTGAAAGAATAGAGCCAGGGATTAGAAAGAGAGAATACAAGGTGATAACTAAGAGAAGAAAGACCCTAGGGACAGAGAAGATGTAGATATGAAACGCAAGTGAAGAGACTGATCTTACACAGTAAGAGAGAACAGCAAGATATTTGTGAGTTTTATAGGTGTGGGACAAGAAAGTGAAGAAGTTCTCACATGTGATGGCCTAAATTACTTCAAATAGAAGGCAAGATCATCTTCTGATGGGTGTAGGGGGGAGCAAGAAAGGAAGAAGTGAGGAAGAGATGTTAAAAAGATAGCCTTTGAGAAAAAATGGGAGGCAATGATTTAGCAGTGCTGATGCACCAGACAAACATAGACACTATAGTTCTCTAGTGTTGCTATCTTTACAGATTGTGACATTCTCCAGCAATGTTTGTCACTATGAAAGTAGGACTATGGAAGGAGTTTTCATAGAGTTGATCCAAAAGTTTGATGTTTCCAAAGGTAATATGGCAGAGACACAGGAAAGAGTTGAATGTTGTAGGAGAATGACCAGAGTCTTGCATCTTCCTAAAGCTTTTGTTTCAGGAAAACTGGTCTTCTGATTGTTGCTAGAATAGAACCTATATTTTTCTTGACCTTGTTCATTTGCTTATGATATTATTTTAATTTGGCTTCTTCCTCCTCATTTCAACTCTGTTATTTTACCCTCATTTCAAATGCTATTTTCTCTACATGGCAATTAATCCTCTCTCTTTGATCAAAATTTAAATTTCCCTCCAAATTGCTATAATTTTTAACAATATTTATCGATTATTTCTTGAGTTGCTACCATCGACAAGCTATCGTGCTTGTTATCAATAGAGTACAAAATCACTCAAATTTATATTGAGCCCTTACTCTACCTTAGTATGTCTAAACACTTTGCATAGATTATATATAATCCTATCTACCATTATATATGGTAAGAACTATTTCTAGAACCAGTTGAGGAGTGAGAAAACAGGCAGAGATAACCATAAGCAAGTCACTCAGCTAGCATGCAACAATGGAAGGACTGGCTCTAGCAGGTTCTAGCAATCAGACTCAAGTATCTTCATTTTAACCAACATACTATACTAGCTCCATAGGCTTTTTGTTGCATTGCTTTGTACTGTCATTTGAGAGTTATATCTTCCATTGGATTTCAGACTTATGTTACAAGGATCTTAAATCTGTTTCTCTTTGTCCCTAGAAAGAAGTGTTGCATATAATAGTTACACAATTAATGGTTCAGAGTCTGGAATCTCACTGAATTATTAGAATGACATAAGAAAGAATTTTCCCAGATAGTCCCACGGAGGTATTTACCTCCACTTGAAACTACATTCAGAGGTGGTCTTTTCTTACACACAATCAAGGTGATTTGGTCCCTCCCTAAAACCTACAGGTTAGATAGAAAGGTTACCATTTTGTTGTTGTTTTTTCTCATTTCATATTATTCTACTTTTCTTTGATTGCCCATGCATTCAGAATGAACAGGAAATTTTCTATTCCTTATTTATCTAACTTATTTTCTCAGTAAAATATATGACTTATGACTTAAAATACATAGTATATCCTAATGTTTCAACTTTAAATGATCAAATTTAGAAACTTTGTTTTTTGCTTTTGTTATTATCTCCACAGCCCAGTGAGAGTCAAAGATTCCCTGGAAGACCATATCTATCTGGCCAGCGGCCACCACCTCCACCTTATAGGCCAAGATGGGTTCCACCAAGTCCCCCACCTCCCTATGGCTCAAGACTTAATTCACCACTTTCTCTTCTCTTTGTTCGAGGGCGAGTTCCACCATCTTCTTTTTCTCAGTTTAGCCAGGCAGTCATTCTATCTCAACTCTTTCCATTGGAACCTATTGGACAACCTCGACTCTTTCCGGGTTATCCAAACCTACATTTCCCACTAAGACCTTACTATGTAGGACCTTTTAGGATATCAAAACCCCCATTTCCTCCTATTCCTTTTTATTTTGCTATTTACCTTCCCATCTCTAACCCTAAACCCCAAATAAATACCACCACCGCAGATAAAACAATCACCGCAAATCCGCCTACCACCGCAACAGCGACCTCCAACACATCCACAAAACATACAATGACAGTCACCTCTTCAACAGTACCTATCTCTTCAACACCAGATCCTGCTGCCTTCATATCAGCAGCAACCCCCACAGCACCTACTGAAAATAGTACTCAAATTCTCACCAACCCTCCTCACACTGTATTGCTCAGTGCCACTGTCCAAGTTACGGCTTCCAACCAAACTACATTCAGCAGCACAATCCCTAAAAGTTTTTGGCAAAAACTTTTTGACATTTTTGGTTGAAGATGCAAGAAATGATATTTTCCAAACTGCTCTGATATCTGAGAAGAAATAAACTGCGATAATTTTGATGGAACCAACCCTGACCTAACCAGCACACCAAATAAATAAAGTATTTGAGTAGTAATATGCACCTATTGCTGTCATTATGAATGACTACCACTCTAGCCTACATTTTGTCACTTACTAACACTTGATGATTCAGGTTACCAGAAGTAAACAGAGGCCCTTTATGAGAAAAAAATAAATAAAGTGTGTACTTAAAGAGAGTGGACAGGATTTTAAAAAGAATACAGGGCTATAGAGACATTCAGGGTCTCCCAGTGGAGCTGGTCAGGGGCCTGTGTTTGATGAAGCAAAAGGAACAAATAAGGAGCCCAGAGCCTGAAGAAGAGTTGGGACAATGAAGGAAAGGCCACCCATAAGACCCGTTGTGCAAAGACGTGACTGCTCCCAGGTGTGACTACCGCTCCTCATTAGCAGTCCACTCTTCTCTGCCTAGTTCTCAATCCTGGGAGGATAACCATACAAACTCTTACATGCGAGTTTTCTTACCTGGGGCGGCAGGTTGCGGGGGGGCGGGGTTGATTAGGTTCTGCTGATGAAATAGGTGGAGGGGAGAGGTATAAATCTTTTATATTTGGTATAAAATATTAAACTGGTACAACTGCATAGGTCCCTTGCCATGAATGGAGCTAGGCTAAGCTCCTAATAGTTACATAATTAATGGTTCAGAGCCTGGAGTCTCACTGAATTCTTAGAATGAAGTAAAAAATGATTTTCCCAGATAGTCCCATTGGAGTGCTTACCTCCACTTGAAACTACTTTCAAAGATGGAACTACTGCCTAGTTCTTAGTTCTCTGATTTCTTAGAAGCTAAGCTCCATTTATTGCAAGGGACCTATACGGTTGTACCATTTTTTAGCTTTTATACAAAATAGTACCCCTACCTCTTTCCTCCACCTATTTTAACAGCAGAACCCAACCAAAATCTCACAGATAAGGAAACCCACATGTAAGAGTCTGTATGATCATCCTCCCAGGACTGAGAATGAGGCAAAGAAGAGTGGACTGCTAATGAGGATTTACAAGCCCATAGGCTGACACCACAAGTAGCCTCACTCAGCATCTTGAGACCAAATAAGTAGTCAAGGAAAAACATGATGGTTCCTGATTTCCTGTATATAGAAAAGGCAGAGGCAGCATAAAAATAAATTACATCAGTTTTCTATTGCCTTTACCCAGGAAATTTACATATATATATAAGATCAACCAGGTAACAAAAATATAAGTAAATAATAATATAAATTAAGAGAAAAGAAATAATTAAGATATCTACTTAAATTGAAATAACACCTAAGTATTCAAATATAGACAAAAAATAAATATAAAATAAAAATGTTTTAAAACTTTAAAAGTGCTCTCTTAACAGCAATAGCCTATAACTATAAAGCATTTAACACAGTCATGTGCCACAGTCAACAACAACTTTTCAGTCAATGACAGACCATATAGATGAAGGTGGTCCCATAAGATTATAATGAAGCTGAAAATACTTTATCATCTAGTGATGTTGTTATCATCTTGACGTCACAGCATAGCACATCACTCATGTGTTTCTGGTGACGCTGGTGTAAACAAAATCACTATGCTTTCACTTGTATAAAAGTAGAGCTCACATAAGTAAGTACAGTGTGTAAGATCTGATAATTATAATAAATGACTATGTTACCGGTTTAGGTATTACTATACTACATAAATCATTATATTAGAGTATACTCCTTATATTAAAGCAAGCTAACTATGAAACAGCCTCAGGCAGGTCTTTCAAGAAGTATTCCAAAAGAAGGTATTGTTATCACAGATGACAGCTCTGTATGTGTTACTGCCTCTGAAAACCTTACACTGGGTAAGATGCAGAGATGGAAGACAGTGAGTGATATAGGTGATCCTAACTCTGTTAAGGCCAAGGCTACTGTGTATATTTGTGTCTTTGTTCTTTTTTCTTTAAGTTTAAACAGTTTAAAAATTAAATTAAAAAGCATATAGAATAAGGATATAAGTAAAAATATATACATATATGTACATATATAATTATTTTTTGAGACTAAAGTCTCGCTCTTGTCCTCCAGGCTGGAGTGCAATGGTGCATCTCTGCTAACTGCAAACCCTCCCTTCTGGGTTCAAGCAATTCTCCTGCCTCAGACCCCTGAGTACTTAAAATTACTGGTGCCTGCCACCACACTCAGGTAATTTTTATATTTTTAGTAGACAGGGTTTCACCATGTTGGACAGGCTAGTCTAAAATTCCTGACCTCAGGTGATCTGCCCACATTGGCCTCCCAAAGTGCTGGGATTACAGGCATAAGCCACCATGCCTAGCCTGAAATATTTTTGTACAACTGTACATGTGTTTCTTTCTTTAAGATAAGTAGTAGTAAAAAGAGTTAAAAAGTTTAAGAAGTTTATACCATAATAAAGCTACAATAAGCTACGTTTACACTATTATTGGAGAAAGAAAAATATGTCTTATAAATGTAGTGCAGCCTAAGTGTGCAGTGTTTATAAAGTCTACAGTCATGTACCATCATGTCCTAGGCCTGCACATTCACTCTGCTCACTCACTGACTCACCCAGAGCAACCTCTGGTCCTGCAAGTTCCATTCATGGCAATGGACCTATACAGTTGTAGCATTTTTTATCTTTTATATCGAATTTTTACTGTACTTTTTCTATGTTTAAATATGCAAGTACATCCCGTTATGTTATAATTGCCTACAGTATTCAGTACAATAACATGTGGTACAACTTTGTAGCCTAGGCTCAATAGGCTTTACCATACAGGTGTGTGCCAGGTTGTATCATCTAGGTTTGTGTAAGTGCAGTACTTAATTTCACACAACAAAATTGCCTAACAATGCATTTCTCACAAGGTGTCCCCATAGTTTAGCAACACATAACTGCAATATCTTAATACATTGATAATTTTATCTTTCAAAATCTCTTTCAAATTACACAATCATTACATATAATAATGGCATCATCTATATATTGATTTCTGGAGTGGAAAGTTCATTCTACCAATCTTAACAAATCTTTTTTTTTTATTATTATATTTGAAATTCTGGAGTATATGTGCAGATTATGCAGGATTGTTACATATACACCTGCTATGGTGGTTTGCTGCATCCATCCTCCCGTCATCTACATTAGGATTTCTCCTAATGTTATCCCACCGCAATCTCCCTACCTCCTGCTATCCCTCCCCTATCCCCACCCACCCCCCAACAGGCCCTGATGTGTGATGTTCCCCTCCCTGTGTCCATGTGTTCTCATTGTTCAACACCCACTTATGAGTGAGAGCATGTGGTGTTTGGTTTTTCGTTCCTATGTAAGTTTGCTGAGAATGATGGTTTCCAGTTTCATCCACGTCCCTGCAAAGGACATGAACTCGTCCTTTTTTATGGCTGCATAGTATTCCATGGTATATATGTGCCACATTTTCATTATCCAGTCTATCACTGATGGGCATTTGGGTTGGATACTGTCTTTGCTATTGTAAATAGTGCCACAATGAACATATGTGTGCATGTGTCTTTAGAGTAGAACAATTTACAATCCTTTGGGTATATACCCAATAATGGGATTGCTGGGTCAAATGGTATTTCTATTTCTAGATCCTTGAAGAATCGCCACACTTTCACAATGGTTGAACTAATTTACACTCCCACCAGCAGTGTAAAAGTGCTCCTATTTCTCCACATCCTCTCCAGCATCTGTTGTCTCCATATTTTTTAGTGATTGCCATTCTAACTGATGTGCAATGGTATCTCAAAGTGGTTTTGATTTGCATTTCCCTAATGACCAGTGATGAAAAGCTTTTTTCCATATGTTTATTGGCTGCATAAATGTCTTCTTTTGAAAAGTGTCTGTTCAGATCCTTTGCCCACTTTTTGATGGGTTTTTTTATTTTTTTCTTGTAAATTTGTTTAATTCTTTATAGATTCTGGATATTAGCCCTTTGTCAGACAGGTACCTTGCAAAAATTTTTTCCCATTCTGTTGGTTGCCAGTTCACTCTAATGATCACTTCTTTTGCTTTGCTATGTAGAAGCTCTTACATTTAATTAGATCCCATTTGTCTATTTTGGCTTTTGTTGCCATTGCTTTTGGTGTTTTAGTCATGAAGTCTTTACCTGTGCCTATGTTCTGAATGGTATTGCCTAGGTTTTCTTTTAGCATTTTTATGGTGTTAGGTCTTATGTTTAAATCTTTAATCCGCCTGGAGTTAATTTTTGTATAAGGTGTAAGGAAGGGGTCCAGTTTCAGCTTTGTGCATATGGCTAACCAGTTTTCCCAACACCATTTATTAAATAGGGAACTCTTTCCCCCTTGCTTATTTTTATCAGGCCTGTCAAACAAAAATTGTTGTAGATGAGTGGCATTACTTCCGAGGCCTCTGTCCTGTTCCATTGGCCTATATCTCTGTTTTGATACCAGTACCATGCTGTTTTGATTACTGTAGCCTTGTAGTATAGTTTGAAGTCAGGTGGCATGATGCCTCCAGCTTTGTTTTTTGTTTTTTTTGTTTTGTTTTGTTTTTGCTTTATATGGTCTTGGCTATGTGGGCTCTTTTTTGGTTCCATATGAAATTTAAGGGTTTTTTTTTTTTCAGTTCTGTGAAGAAGATCAATGGTGTGATGTAGTGTTGAGAATGTATATTCTGTGGATTTGGGGTGGAGAGTTCTGTAGATGTCTATAAGATCTGCTTGGTCCAGATCTCAGTTCAAGTTCTGGATATCCTTGTTGATCTGTCTAATATTGACAGTGGAGTGATTAAGTCTCCCAATATTACTGTGTGGAAGTCTAAGTCTCTTTGTAGGTCATTAAGAATTTCATTTTCCCTGTCACATTCAGGTACACTGGTCAAACATAGATTTGGTCTTTTCACATAATCCCATATTTCTTGGAGGCTTTCATTTCTTTTCACTCTTTTTTCTCTATTCTTGCCTTCTCATTTTATTTTGTTGAGTTGATCTTCAATCTCTGACATCCTTTCTTCTGCTTGATTAATTCAACTATTGAAACTTGTGTATGCTTTGCAAAGTTCTCGTGCTGTGTTTTTCAGCTCC